AGCATTTTATAAAAAATCGCGCACATGCGCATGCGCGCGCGTTTTCGCGCGTAAAACTATTACACAACATAGAATCGCCATTTTTTTTTCTTTCATAATATTTCACATATTTTTACAAACAAATTGATACCATGTTTGTCTCTTTATGACTATTAATAACGGAATGATCGACCGTTTAACATAAATTTCCGTGCGCGCGAGCTCTTGTAATACATAGCATATATGGGCAAAAACATGCCCATACAAAATCCATTGTAGCTCTTTAGGATGCAAGGTGACCCCAATTTGTTTTCATATTTTAAAAGAGTATGATTCGGAGATATTGTTTCATGTCTCATTTGACCCTCAATTAACTCATGACGTCATCATAATGGCCTCCGAACTCAAAATTCCAATTTGCATATTATGACGTCAGCATATTTATGGAAAATTGATTGTATCTCTGTAAATGTTGATTGATTTTCTTCCAAATTTTAGTATGTTCTAGCTGAGACAATTTTCAACAAATAATAAAGTCACGATTTTTCATTTTGACAAAGGCATCATGGCGTATATTTGCGATTAAAGGTGGCATGTCAATTTTTCACATTTTGCCTGTATTCTCTACGGGACATTACTCTTTCTCAAAACTGGGTTCTACATTTCCGTCTTTCGCGAGCAATATCTCCGTCGTTTTAGATTCTTTTACGCTGAACTTCGAGTATGTTGTAGCTGAGACAATAAGTTATCTTAAATGTGCCTTTGATTTTGTCTCAATTTTAGTTGGACCAGCCCACCTATACTTGTTCGAAACAAGTATTACAAATCTAGTTAAATATTTTTCTTATTTCTAACCACTTTTTTGTGAACAAGATAACTTGGAAATGGCTCAATCAAATGCCTAGAAATTTGGCACACATATGTATAGACATATGTACAAAGCACAATAACGTTTTCAACATTGACCTTCACTGATGACGTCATCTAGGCGCCATTTTGTAAAATTTTACGAAAATCAACTCATGATCATATCTTCATAACCAAAAGGTATTTCTCGTTCATATTTATCATGATCAAGGTCAATATCCGTCCGGTCAATAAAAGGTCAAAAAACGCGCGCGTGCGCGTACGTCCGCGCGTCAATGCGCGCGCAAAATTTTGAAATGCTCAAAATCGTCTGAAAATCATTTTGCATACGTTTTAGCCCATTCTAAGCATTTTATAAAAAATCGCGCGTACGAGCATGCGCGCGCGTTTTCGCGCGTAAAACTTTTGCACAACATTGAATTGCCTTTTTTTTTTCTTTCATAATATACCACATATATTTACAAACATATTGATACCATGTTTGTCTCTTTATGACTATTAATAACGGAATGATCGACCGTTTAACATAAATCTCCATGCGCGCGAGCTCTTGTAATACATAGCATATATGGGCAAAAACACGCCTATACAAAATCCATTGTAGCTCTTTAGGATGCAAGGTGACCCCAATTTGTTTTCATATTTTAAAAGAGTATGATTCGGAAATATTGTTTCATGTCTCATTTGACCCTCAATTAACTCATGACGTCATCATAATGGCCTCCGAACTCAAAATTCCAATTTGCATATTATGACGTCAGCATATTTATGGAAAATTGATTGTATCTCTGTAAATGTTGATTGATTTTCTTCCAAATTTTAGTATGTTCTAGCTGAGACAATTTTCAACAAATAATAAAGTCACGATTTTTCATTTTGACAAAGGCATCATGGCGTATATTTGCGATTAAAGGTGGCATGTCAATTTTTCACATTTTGCCTGTATTCTCTACGGGACATTACTCTTTCTCAAAACTGGGTTCTACATTTCCGTCTTTCGCGAGCAATATCTCCGTCGTTTTAGATTCTTTTACGCTGAACTTCGAGTATGTTGTAGCTGAGACAATAAGTTATCTTAAATGTGCCTTTGATTTTGTCTCAATTTTAGTTGGACCAGCCCACCTATACTTGTTCGAAACAAGTATTACAAATCTAGTTAAATATTTTTCTTATTTCTAACCACTTTTTTGTGAACAAGATAACTTGGAAATGGCTCAATCAAATGCCTAGAAATTTGGCACACATATGTATAGACATATGTACAAAGCACAATAACGTTTTCAACATTGACCTTCACTGATGACGTCATCTAGGCGCCATTTTGTAAAATTTTACGAAAATCGACTCATGATCATATCTTCATAACCAAAAGGTATTTCTCGTTCATATTTATCATGATCAAGGTCAATATCCGTCCGGTCAATAAAAGGTCAAAAAACGCGCGCGTGCGCGTACGTCCGCGCGTCAATGCGCGCGCAAAATTTTGAAATGCTCAAAATCGTCTGAAAATCATTTTGCATACGTTTTAGCCCATTCTAAGCATTTTATAAAAAATCGCGCGTACGAGCATGCGCGCGCGTTTTCGCGCGTAAAACTTTTGCACAACATTGAATTGCCTTTTTTTTTTCTTTCATAATATACCACATATATTTACAAACATATTGATACCATGTTTGTCTCTTTATGACTATTAATAACGGAATGATCGACCGTTTAACATAAATCTCCATGCGCGCGAGCTCTTGTAATACATAGCATATATGGGCAAAAACACGCCTATACAAAATCCATTGTAGCTCTTTAGGATGCAAGGTGACCCCAATTTGTTTTCATATTTTAAAAGAGTATGATTCGGAAATATTGTTTCATGTCTCATTTGACCCTCAATTAACTCATGACGTCATCATAATGGCCTCCGAACTCAAAATTCCAATTTGCATATTATGACGTCAGCATATTTATGGAAAATTGATTGTATCTCTGTAAATATTGATCAATTTTCTTCCAAATTTTAATATGTTCTAGCTGAGACAAATTTCTACAAATGCAGTCAGTACTATTCTTCATTTTGACAAAGGTATCATGGCGTATTTTTGCGATTAAAGGAGGCATGTCAATTTTTCACATTTTGCGTGTATTCTCTATGGGACATGACTTTTTCTCAAAACTCGATTCTACATTCCCGTCTTTCGCGGGCAACATCTACGTCATTTTAGCTTCATTTACGCTGAACTTCGAGTATGATGTAGCTGAGACAATTAGCTATCTCAAATGTGCCCTTCATTTTGTCTAAAATGTTAGCTGGACCAGCCCACCTATACTTGTACCAAACAAGTATTACAAATCTAGTTTATTTTTCTTATTTCTAACCACTTTTTTTTGTGGACAAGATAACTTGAAAATGACTAAATCAAAAGCCTTGAAATTTGATACACATATGTATAGGCATATGTACAAAGCACAATAACGTTTTCAACATTGACCTTCACTGATGACGTAATCTAGGCGCCATTTTGTAACATTTTCGGAAAATCAACTCACGATCATATCTTCTGAACCAAATGTAATTTCTCATTCAGATTTATCATGATCAAGGTCAATATCAGTCCGGTCAATTTCAGGTCCAAAAAAGCGCGCGTGCGCGTACCTCTGCGCGTCAATGCGCGCGCAAAATTTTAAAATGCTCAAAATCGTCTCAACATAATTTTGCATACGTTTTAGGCCATTTTAAGCGTTTTATAAAAAATCGCTCACACGTGCATTTGCTCGTTTTCGCGCGTAAAACTATTACTCAACATAGAATCGCCATTTTTTTCTCTTTCATAATATGCCACATATTTTTACAAACAAATTGATACCATGTTTATCTCTTTATGACTATTAATAACGGAATGATCGACCGTTTAACATTAATTTCCGTGCGCGCGAGCTCTTGTAATACATAGCATATATGGGCAAAAACATGCCTATACAAAATCCATTGTAGCTCTTCAGGATACAAGGTGACCCCATTTTTTTTTCTTCATATTTTAATAGAGTATGAATTGGATATATGATTTCATGTCTCATTTGACCCTCAATTTTCTCATGACGTCATCGTAATGGCCTCCGAACTCATAATTTCAATTTGCATATTATGATGTCAGCATATTTTTGGAAAATTGATTGTTTCTCTGTAAATATTTATCGATTTTCTTCCAAATTTGGATATGTTCTAGCAGCGACAATTTTCTACGAATGCTTTTGTTACGATTTTTCATTTTGACAAAAGCATCATGGTGTATTTTTGCGATTAAAGCAGGAATGTCAATTTTTCACATTTTGCATGTATTCTCTAAGGGACATGATTTTTTCTCAAAACTCGATTTTACTTTTCCGTCTTTCGTGAGCAATATCTCCGTCGTTTTAGCTTCACTCACGCTGAACTTCGAGTATGTTGTAGCTGAAACAATATGCTATTTCTAATGTGCCCTTCATTTTGTTGCAAATTTTAGTTAGACCAGCCCACCTATACTTGTTCCGAACAAGTATTACAAATCTAGTTTTTTTTTGGTAAATGCACAGGATAGGGGTTAATAAACAAACAAAGAAACCACCCTTTCAAATTAAAAAAGCCCCGGAATGAAAGCATGGACGGCATTTGTTCCCCATTGAAACGCCTTAACATACTGCGGTGTATGCAGCTGAAAATATAATGGCGTCTTATTTTGTTTACAAACGAAGGATTCCTTTATTTTTTCCTTTGATTTTTCATCGGGGTTTAAAGTGAGGCAATATATTAAACATTTAGCCTGAGGGTAGTAAATGAGGATAAATAACTGAAGAGAAGACGACAAAAAAGGCACTGGAAATGTGTGAGATGTCATGGGACATCGTCTGCTTGTGCAAATCATGTTCAAAATGAGACATCACACATCTCAGCAGCGATCGGAGAGCTTTTCAGGTCTTATGCCGGGGCTGTTTTTAAGCGTTTTGAATTCATAATAATCATTACTGCTAATGTTTCCAAGCATCAAATTTGTATAAACTTGTCCAATCAAAGTTTCACCTTTGCAATAATGACAATCAAGTTAGTTTTTCAAATCAATGCACCTTTTCTTAACAACATAAATGGCCTGCTGTCTCGTATAAAATGCAAATGCGACCTGACTCACCGAATCCACTTGATGGGGATTGCCTTGCCCTGACTCATGCACATTGGTGCTTCTGTCCTCATTGCCTGTTTGGCCTGTTTTCAGTGATGACTCTTGATCACCTTGAATAGTTAAAAAGGGAAAGATAAAACACGTCATTAACTTTTGTAGAACATGCTAAAAATTGAGGGGAAATATTGTTTAGCGTGCGGAAGAACAGGAGAGAGAGAGAGAGAGAGAGAGGAGGGGTGAATCAAATTACAAGAATTACAATGTCATCGTCACCATCAGCAATTACAAGGCGCTGCTCTGTGGCATGCCCATCGTTTTGTACATTGGTTTATCTTTATATTGTAGTTTTTATGATAGTGGTCTTCTGTTCTCTGCTTCAAAACCATGTTCAGCAACACTCTAAAATCCACTCTGGTTGCATAAATCTTCATTTTGTTGCCACTTGTTCAACTGCTAACCTGTCTCACTGCCCTACTTTTGACAACGAATGGTGTTACTGTATATATACGGGCTGAGCTACTTTTACTTCGTGCCAACTATAACGAGGGATTTCGAAAAAGAGATAAGGCCAGAGACAGGAGGGGAAAAAAGGAGGAACGATGCTCGAACTCGAAACCATATGTCCAACCATGGATGGTCCAACCAACCTTTGTCACAGACTTTGCTTGGAAATGTACGATCACTTACAAACAAAATGAATGGACTTCGCGCTTGTGCTTGCTATTTGTATAGATACAGGGACTCAATTAAGCTTGTTATGTGTCTGTGAGACCTCTCCGATGCATTTATGATTATTTCTTTGTCAAAGGGAACTGGTGAATCCACTCGATGTCACCTGCTAGCTCCTGAATAAGAAGTGAACACACCTGCTGCTTTGATCCTATGTTCTATAGCATCACTATAACATTTTTCATGGGGGCTGACGAGCACATAGTTTGACTGGCAATAGCCAATTGTTATCACTTACATAACGATTGCAAATAATTCGTTTATGATTACAGTATATTTCCTGAGTTTTTAGTTTTTATTACTTGAATACTTCTTTTGAAAAATCACATAGTTTGTGGCATCTTAACAAGGAATCCTTCCCCTATACCTCATTAGTTATTCTCGTTTATAATTTTTTTCTCTCGATACATTTACTTGTTTACGTTGCATTTTGATAAGTGCTAACAGCTGAACATCATTTAAATGTGTATGCTGCAGAGCGTACCTGTAGGTATGAGTTATTCGAGTATTGCTGCTTTGCTTTCACAAAATCATATGCACGAACAAATAATTCCTTATTAACAAGTATTTCAATTAATTTGAATCTACCCGTTTCTGTTTTCATATACTACTTGAGTGTTGTATGATCATTGAAATTCATCGCTCAAGGTAAACATACAAAATCCATTATTACCTTGACCGCGAGGTTCTCTTCTAGATTTCTTCCTGTTGTCTGTTGCCTGAGATATTAAAAAAATAAGAGAAACTTGCCATTAGAAACACAAACATTCAAACACACACACACACACACACGCACACACTCACATAATCATATTATAATACATGGCTAATAGCTACAACTCAGTTACGTGTTGAAGCATTAGATTGGCTTGTGATATTTGATCTTCGGATGTACACATTAATAATTACTTAATAATGGTCTATGTATACATTATTGCATCAATATCCCGCGAGCAGTGTTACAAATTACCAATGAAACATCCGTAGGTGATCCCCTACAGCTATGTTGTCAATCATGTCTTGTCTTGCCTAATATCCGTGTGTCTCCAATCTCGAGGCGATACTTGTTTTGTCTTGTAATGTTCTCCAATTTTCCTTGCCATTCTTCCCTTTCCGTAGCTCCCCTTTTCCATTGGGGCCGTACCAAACATTGTTATTACATGCACTGTCATGAACAACGCTAAAAACGTATTTTCTTTAATGTGGATATTGTGACAAGGGTGAGAAATCAAAACTCTTTCTTCTTTATCAAACAAATCTACTTCTTTATATTCGATTCTTTTCATTTTTATCAAACGTGAGGTCATTAAATAGTACAAATAAAAAATGTGCATAATTAATTATTGTTCTAAATCACACGACTTAATCCTCTGCATAATTTAACTAAATACTTACTGCATCGTATTTGATAGCGCGTGTGGTGTCATTTGGTTGAGTATCCTTTGATGGTGGAAACCAACTATCCTGCCATTGCTGTTTTGTAATTCTTTCCCACTGATTTGTTACGAATTTCTTGAGTTGATCGAAGTCATGAGGAAAGATATCCTCCAATTTTCCACAGAAAATGACACAGCTTGACATCTTGAAAACCGTTGGCTGGTTGTTTTTCATCATTTGAAGGCGGGTTTGATAAGTATGCTTCTTCAAATTCTTCACAAGGTATGCAATGACGCAGATAGAATCACGGCCTGCATGAAATTTACAAATTCGAAATATCAGGACAATATACCACACATAGATGAAGAAACAAAATCGTAAGAAATTTTTGTATGTAAATATTCAGTCTGCAATAGAAATCAATGGTATGAGAAAAATCCTATCAACCTTATTTTTAGTGAAACACAAGTTTTTTAAAATCTGTCTGTCGTTGAACGTGCTGGGAGATACGCTTGAGTGCACTTGCCGCCAAGTTGCTTAGTCCTCGATCTTTTCAGCTCACAAATTTAAAGAATTCCAGCCTGGCCTATTGTTGAGAAAAAAAAGCGGCGAACACTACAGAGAACTAACGAAGATGGCGGATATCACGTAATCACGTACGAGCGCTGGCCACATTTTTCGAACCACTATGAGCCTCCTACGTATGTCGAACCCTAACCCTCATTCCGATAAAAATATGCAACCAACCAAAACAAGTTTAATAACAGAAGAAAACTAACGATTACTTTCATCATTAGCCCCCCCCCCCCCAAAGCCGCCTGACCACAACGGAATGAGTGAGGACTTGCGATATCTCCTGAAGTGCAATCGCAACTCGCTATTTTGCTCTTCTCCAACGCAAAAAGATACGACATTGTGCTGGATTAATATGTTTTTTCTTTCGACAAGAGTACAGAAAAAAAGCATGCTATTGTTTTCTATTATACTTTTTGAAAGGTTATGCCTGGATTACATTTGGCCTGCGATCAGTCTACGGAGCCCGTATCCTGCCCGTATTCCCTTTTCCGTACAGAGGCAGGAGGTGGCTGTGAGATTTTCGTACGGATTCACGGGCTCCGCGGCCTCTACGATTTTGTTTCGCAGAAAGTTATTCAAATTTGAAAAATCGTAAGCCCGTAGTCCGTAGACATGTCGTAGGTGTCATTGCACAATCCCTGCACAGACCTCGGGCTGAGGACTCGCGCTTATCGTGCAGCAAACGCACGATTTTTCGGTGAACATGGAGGCCAAAAAACGCTTCAAAACGGCACGGTGGCTGCACGGTCACCGCGCCTTCTCCGCGCAACCTTTACACGGAAGCTGCACGGGCTCCGTACGATTTTCGTGCGGAGGCTGCAGAGACTGCACAGCTACTGCATTGAAATTGCACGATTTCCGTACAATATCCAAGCAGCCTCTGAAGGGATTCGCCTCCGCCTGCCCGCAAAGGCCAATACAAGAAATGGCACGATGCTCATAGATAATGTAAACACAAACATCGTAGCCCGTAGCCTCCTACGATGCCCAAAAAAATCGCACACAAAATCGTAGACTGATTTATCGTACGGCGCCCGGGGTAAATGTAATCCAGGCATAACGTCTAGATCACATTTGCTCTACGGCTTGGATACGGCGGCCGTAGGCCCCTGAAACTGTACGGTCGCCGCAGGGACGCCCTAAGGCGGCCGTGCGTCATCACTTCAAAGGCCATACGGCAGCCGCAGATTTTCTGTCTCCACAAATTCAAAATACGCCGTGCGGCTACCATAACATAATACCGCTACCGTATGTGACCGTGGGAATGCTGAGGCAGCCTTATTATTGATATTGGCCGTAAACATTTTAGACCCCACAGCCGCCGCGGCAAATGTGACCTAGGCATAAGTGACTCCCGGGCACTCCAAAGCTAGAATGAAACGCACGCAAGGCCGTTGGTGACTTTATTCACATGCCCCAGACGTATGGAACGCGGCACACGTCTGCTAAATAACAGGCAGACGTCTGCTAATTGACCAACCACCGCCTGTTATTTAGCAGACGTGTGCAAGGTGCGATAGCACACGCCTGCTAGTTTATTAGCACACGTGTGCCCTTTTCCAGACGGATGCGCATGTTAAGCTGCTAAAGTGAAAACTCCGCTAAAGTGTAACCTGCCGCCTAAGTTTTTGAAAAAGAAGTTCACTTCAGCGAACGGGCTCGCGGCCGTAGCGGTCGTGATGCCGGCGCGCGTTTGTTGTTCGTGTACGTCTGGAGCTAGCTAGTATGGAAAGCCGTTGGTGACTTTATTCACGTACCCCAGACGTATGGAACGCGGCACACGTCTGCTAAATTGACCAATCACCGCCTGTTATTTAGGAGACGTGTGCAAGGTGCGATAGCACACGCCTGCTAGTTTGTTAGCACACGTGTGCCCTTTTCCAAACGGATGCGCAGTATGCTCGTAAATTGGTTTTTAAGGCAACCAATCAAGTCCGCTGTTACAAAGCTGCTCAGCTCTGTGCGTACGGGGCCTGCTCGCTGTTACAAAACTGCTCAGGTCAGTACATATTGGATGGGGGACACACCTACGGCCAGGCACGGATCCAGGGGGAGGGCCGAAGGGGTCTCCCCCTCCCCTGCCACAGAGAGAGAGAGCTAGAGAGAGAAGGAACAGAAGGGAAGGGGGAAAGAGGAGAGAAAGGAAAGAAAGAAGAGGATGAAAAAAAGAAAAGGGGGCAAAAGAGATCGGTTGGGCGGGGAGGGGCGACTGAGGGCCTTGCCTCTGAGGCTGTTGCCCCCCCCCCCCACCTCTTCCCCAAATTAAGGAAGAAAAGGGAAATAAAAAAAGGAGAAGAGGAGACAAAGGAAGGGGGAAAGGAATAAGAAAGGTAATGAAGGGGAATATCAGTAACGAATTTCTCGCAAACAATTTGTTGATCCTCAGGGGGGGGGGACAAAAAAAAAGAGTAGGAAGGGAAAAGGAAAGAGGAGAGCTAAAAGGGAACAAAAAGGGGAAAGAAGAAAAGAAAGGGAGGGGGTCAGATGCAATTAATCCAGCCAACAACATGTGGTTCGGGTAGGCGTGAAAGGCCACTGCCCCCCCCCCCCCAGCAAACTTTAAAAAGAGAGAAGGAAGGGAAGAGGAAGGGAAAGAGAAAAAATAGAGGAAGAAGAAAGGTAGGGGAGATCAGTTGCGATTTTTCCCGCCAACAAGGTGTGAATCGGGGGTGAAAGGCCCTTGCCTCCCCCTCCCCCCTCAGCAAAAGTGAGAGAGAGAGAGAGAGAGAGAAGGGAGGGAGGAAATGGGAAAGAGGAGAGAAAGGGAAAGAAAATAAAGAGTAAGAAGAAAAGAAAAGGGGGAAATATATGCTTTTGCGCCCCTCTCGCCCCCCCCCCCCAATAGGACCACCGCCAGATACACCACTGGACACTACTGGCGTACTCCCCCAAACCAGAATAAAACTAGGTTTTTTTCTAATTCGATTTCAGTGATTTACAAATGTTGTGAAATGACATAATTTTTAGTAAATTATACTTTATGAGTTTGTTGGAAAATGACTAATTTCCCAAAGATACAGTCAGGCGAGAAATATGCTTATTTTAATAGAGGCCTTCATGTCCAGGCCCGCGGAACGGCGGGGCTCGGGAGACTGAGATTTCCCCCCTCCCCACTATTTTGAAAAAGTATATTAAAAAGAAATAGAAAGAAAGAAAGAAAGAAAGAAAGGAAGAAAAAAAGGAAAGAGGGAAAAGATATAATGCTTTTGCGCTCATCTCGCCTCCCCCAAACGAGACCAAGCGCCAAATACGCCACTAGACACCACTGGCGTACTAACTGGAAGGGGCAGCCTCCCCCTTAAATGGTTCATTTCTAATTCGATTTCAGTGATTTACAAATGTTGTTAAATGATATAATTTTTTAGTAAATTATACTGTTTTATGAGTTTGTTGGAAAATGACGAATTCCCGAAGTTACAGTCAGGCGAAAAATATGCTTATTTAGAGGTCTGCACGTCAAGGCTCGCGGAACATAAATTGGCGTAAAGTCCAGGGGCTGAGCCCCAAGAAACTCAGGGGCTATCGGGGCATTCATTAACGTTCAGATGAACATATTTTAATACCCCGGTAACTCAGGGATTTTTAGGCATTTTATAACGGTCAGATAAGTATTCAGGAGCACGCCTTAGGGCCCTTGGTGGGATCAAGGGGTGGAGCCTCCGGAAAGTCAGGGGTTTTAGGCATTTAGCTACGGTCAGTTTATCATATTTTGAGACCTCATTACGACACTGGTAGGTCACAATTGATTTTTCTCTCTTTTTTCCCTTCTTCTTTTGAATATACTTTTTCAAAATAGTGGGGGCCCATGCCCCCGAGCCCCGCCGTTCCGCGAGCCTTGACATGTAGACCTCTAAATAAGCATACTTCTCGCCTGACTGTTACTTTGGGAATTTTCCAACAAACTCATAAAACATTTACTAAAAAACTATGTCATTTGTAAAACACTGAAATCGAATTAGAAATCAACCTCGTTTTATTCTTGTTTGGGGGAGTACGCCAGTAGTGTCCAGTGGCGTATCTGGCGCTTGGTCTCGTTTGGGGGGGGGGGGGCGAGAGGAGCGCAAAAGCATATATTTCCCCCTTTTCTTTTCTTCTTCCTCTTTATTTTATTTCACTTTCTCTCCTCTTTCCATTCCCCGACCTTCCTTCTCTCTCTCCCTTTCTCTCCCTCTCTCTTTTTTTTTGCTGAGGGAGGAGGGGAGGCAAGGCCTTTTCCCCCTCCCCCGATCCCCCTTTTTTTTACCCCTTCATCTTCTTTTTCTTCTTTCTTTCCTTTCTCTCCTCTATTCCTTATTTTCCTTCATCTCTCTCTCTTTTTTTGTCGGGGGGGGGGGCAAGGCCCATATTATTATTATTATTATTATTATTATTGTTATTATTATTATTACACATATCTTAACATTCAAATATTAAAAACAAACAAAGAACAGAAGTATAAAGAAGAAAAAAAAATGTACAAATAAAGATACTACTATCCACCCCCCCCCCCATCATCAATTATTAATTTCCAATCAGCGTTAAAGAAAACGTATAGTTATGTAAATATATATTTAAGCGTACGTAATATATAAACACTAAGAATTATTTCAAATATTATAGAACTCAAACAGTAAATCATATTGATATTGCATTACCCCTTTGTACGCTACATGACGCGAAAACCTTCAAGGCCCGAGAGTGTTCAAGCCCCCTGTCTCCCAACAAGACACAATTTTAAAGTGCCCCCCCCCCCTCTCCGAGCAGTAGCTAGGCTTGTATTCTTTTAGTCTAAATACTAGTTTTATCCTGAGGTTTAAAGATTCCAATGTCATGGACAGACGAAAATTTTCATTGGCTAAAATTGTATAGTTTCTGGGTGCCTGGTCCA